AATTGAAACCGTCGAAGAAGACGATAAGAAACCGCAAACAACGGTAATTGTCGAAGAAGCACCCATTGATGAACAACCAGAAGAAATCAAAGAACTTCCTGAGGAAGTGCGTGTTCTCGAGATTTTGTCCGAAGATGGCAAACCCACAAAGAAAAAGATTCGCACTCGCATCATCAAAAAAATCAAGGGTGATAAACAAGAAGTTACTAAAATTGAAACTGTCGAAGAAGACAATAAGAAACCACACACCACAGTAACAGTCGAAGAAGCACCCATTGATGAACAACCAGAAGAAGTGAAAGAACTTCCTGAGGAAGTGCGTGTTGTCGAGTCCATTTCGATAGATGGCAAACCCACAAAGAAGAAGATTCGCACTCGTATAATCAAGAAAGTCAAGGGTGATAAACAAGAAGTTACTAAAATTGAAACTGTCGAGGAAGACGATAAGAAACCGCAAACAACGGTAATTGTCGAAGAAGCACCTTTTGATGAACAACCAGAAGAAATCAAAGAGCTTCCTGAGGAAGTGCGTATTGTCGAGTCCATTGCCAAAGACGGCAAACCCACAAAGAAAAAGATTCGCACTCGCGTAATCAAGAAGGTCAAGGATGATAAACAAGAAGTTACCAAAATTGAAACCGTCGAAGAAGACGATAAGAAACCACACACCACAGTAACTGTCGAAGAAGCATCCATTGATGAACGACCAGAAGAAATCATAGAACTTCCTGAGGAAGTGCGTATTGTCGAGTCCATTGCCAAAGACGGCAAACCAATAAAAAAGAAGATTCGCACTCGCGTAATTAAGAAAGTCAAGGGTGATAAACAAGAAGTTACTAAAATAGAAACCGTCGAAGAAGACGATAAGAAACCACACACCACAGTAACAGTCGAAGAAGCACCCCTTGGTGAACAAACAGAAGAAGTCAAAGAACTTCCTGAGGAATTGCGTGTTGTTGAGTCCATTTCGAAGGATGGCAAACCCACAAAGAAGAAGATTCGCACTCGTATAATCAAGAAAGTCAAGGGTGATAAACAAGAAGTTACTAAAATAGAAACCATTGAAGAAGACGATAAGAAACCACACACCACAGTAGCAGTCGAAGAAGCACCCATTGATGAACAACCAGAAGAAGTCAAAGAACTTCCTGAGGAAGTGCGTATTGTCGAGTCCATTTCAAAGGATGGCAAACCCACAAAGAAAAAGATTCGCACTCGTGTAATCAAGAAACTCAAGGGTGCTAAACAAGAAGTTACTAAAATTGAAACTGTCGAAGAAGACGATAAGAAACCGCAAACCGTAGTAACGGTCGAAGAAGCTTTTGTTGATGAACAACCAGAAGAAATCAAAGAACTTCCTGAGGAAGTGCGTGTTCTCGAGACTTTGTCCGAAGATGGCAAACCCATAAAGAAAAAAATTCGGACTCGTGTAATTAAGAAGATCAAGGGTGATAAACAAGAAGTTACCAAAATTGAAACCGTTGAGAACGAAAATGAAAAACCTGAGACAATTGTTACAGTAGAAGAAACTGTTCTCCCGAAAATTGATAACCTGGAAATTAAGCAACTTAGGCTTAAGAAAATGGTCCGTGTAAAAGAACCTGTAGAACCTGAAACGGTGATAGAGTTGCCGGAACAAAAAACAGTTCTTTTAGCCGAGAAAGACGATGGTACCCCTATGAAAACAGTAATTAAAACCAAAGTTATAAAAAAGATTAAAGGCCCTAAAATGGAAATCACCAGAGTTCAAACAGTGGAGGAATTTGAAAAAGAGCCAGTTACAACGGTTTTAACACACAACTACGAAGAACCGTTTCCGCAACTTCCGGAAGAGACGTTAACACCTGTTTACGAATTGCCAGAAGAATTTGTTACAACGGAGTATGTAGATGAGCATGGAAATATGAAGACTAGAAAAGTTAAGAAAAAAGTTATTAGGAAACCTATTGGTGATAAAGAAGAAGTAACTGAATTACAAATTGTGCAAGATGAGAATGAAAAACCGAAACTTACAGTTACAATAACTGAAGCAGATAAGCCAGACGAACAACCCAAAGAAATCACTCAAGCAGTGGAGTTGCCTGAACAGCGTGCTCTTCTTGATACTATTACATCAGATGGGAAAATCAAGAAAAAGAAACTTAGGACTAAATCGTATAAGCAAAATAATGAAGTATTTACTATACAAATCATTGAGGGTGAAGACGAGTCCAATGCAACAGTTTACATTGAACAAAAACCCGCCGAAGATTTTAAGATGCGTCTGATAACATTGGAAGAATTTCCTGAAGAAATTATAGAAGCAGAGATAATAGAGCCTGGTAAAAAGCCAAAGAAGAAAACTACTAAAACACGAACATTTAAACGAGATGTTTCACCCTGTCCCGAATTTTATCAAATCCAAACTATTGAAGAAGACGGACAAGAGCCGTACTCAATGATACAAGTTGTCAATGAAGATAGTCTATCGGATATAATTGATATAAGACAATTGGACGATGAGCAAATTGTCAAGAAAATAACTAAGCAAAAGCCCAAAAAACACAAAACGCTTAAGGGTAAGATTACACTTACACTGTTCATAACAACACTTACCACTTTTTATAATGTATGTATACAATCCATGTGTACTATTTCTATTTTGCATTTATATACTTACCCTTATTGTAGTAATATTCTTTTTCTTCTGTATTTATTAAACATAATTATTTCTTTTCTACCTGACCAACACTTATTTTTATATGTGTTTTCATTGATACATATACATACTTAAACAAACAATATATTAAACAGAAGCTGAGCTTACACCACAACAAATTACAGCTGAAGAAAAGCCCGTTTACATAACCACATTTAAGTCGGTACAAAACGAAGTTGGCCAAGCCACAATACAAACTGAAAGCAAAAAAATTACACAAGAGGAAGGCGTCCTCGTTGAGGAAGTCCTTAGTGATTCAGAAACGATTAAGGAACACGAAGATTTCACACCATACCAAATTGAAATTGTTGAAGTCAGCGATATAACAGGTGAATTACTTTATAATTTAATTTATTCTACTAACTATTATTATTAAGAAGAAGAAATTTGCCGAAAACTCTCTAATATATGGCCTTGGAAAAAAGCATATTTTCAGAATTGGTTAGGTTTCCTATAAAAAGAAGAGCAGTAGTCTATTACTCAGTGAGAGTAAATGTTTCATTACATCATAACAAAATCAAAAGTGAAAATGATTGCATAAAAACCCTACGCAGCCAACACTATAAGTTAGCTGTTCTATAAGTTGTCAACAAATAACCTGTTTCGCATTTTTCTTAAGTGTTCACTATTCATTACGTTCTTATATATAAGTGAAAATTATATTCTTATAGTAAATGCCAATAATTTCGAGTGAAGAAATAGCTGATATAAAACACAATTTTAAAGCCATATAATATAATACTGTTTGAGATAGTTTAAGACTAATATAAAAATTTCTTAGTTATTAATGAGCTTGATTTTAAAACATATATATACAAAAAGCAATCTAAACTCATCTATTTATTGCATATTCATGCAATCTTACTGCAAACCCTAGACGAAGGTTCGCACATAAATTATCGCCTTCACTTCGTTATCTTTTCACATACAACCTTCAACTAACTTATTACGAAAATTTGAACTCCCCACAAAATTCATCTTAATTGTATGACATAATTGTTGTGCGTATATTTAAATATAAGATTTTATAAAAAAGAATATTCTTTAGCAATATACAATAAACAAATTTTTATTAAACTAGACCAAGACAACAAATTATACACTATCACAGAACCCGAAGATGTAAGTGAAGACATAACACAGACACAATATGCAGACAAACACGCCAAACAGAAGAAACTTAAACCGAAACATAAAACAACTGCATTCAATGTGATTGAAGAGAAGCCGGAAGAGGTTAGAGTTGAATATTTACCTGAAGAAATATTGGAAATAGAATTGCCAACCGCTGAATCAAGTATAGAAGCTCCAAAAACTAAACTGGTCAAGAAAAGAAAAATTAAGAGTAAGGTTGGTGAACGCGAACAGATTATTGAAGTTACTACTACCCAGGAACCAGGCAGGGAAGAAGAGTATACGGTCGATGTTATCACGAATGAAAAAGAGCCCGAAAAAACGGAAGAACTATTTGAAGGTGCGAAAGTCACACTAGCTGATATGGCAGAACAGCCAAAGCCTAAAGAAAAGAAACCTAAAAAGACGAAACCGGCTAAGAAGGTTAAGAAAGACGAACTAGACGAATACATACAATTCTTAATTCATCAAGAAATTCCAAAAACTGTTCTTCAAGACTATGAACGTATCGAAGTAGAGACTCCGCAAAAGGCTCGTCGTGACTCGGTTAGTAAACCCATAAAACCACTAAAACTTGTACCGATGAAAGTAGAAAACATTGAAATTAAAAAACCCAAACGCATGGAAATAACGTCGGTAGCGGAATTTCCGCAAATGATAAAACTAAAGACACCCAAACAAAGGCCGTCTGAACCCAAGACCAAAAAACAAAAAGTACCATTCAAAACTAAACTGAAGAGCTGGATTAATTTTATACCTTATGCTCCGTACAACTTCCAATTGAAAATCACGGAACTTAACACTAAACGAGGTTGTGGTGAACTATCGCGTAATATTGACGAAGCTTTCAAAATTTTAAAAAGACGTCCCAGCAAATATATACCTGCAGAGATTGAAGAAACTTATCTGGAGCAACATTTGGTAACAAAAGAGGGAGAAAAGCCAGAAGTCGTCGAAGAAATTGCTCCTATTAAGTACAAGCGATCTAAAAAACTTTCGAAAGAGGAAATTACCACAGAAGAAAGAAAACTTAAACTTGGTAAAGGCAAACTTCCAATTACTAAACGGGAAATGGAGGAAGTAAAACTTAAACCATTCGCTGTTGATATCTCAGCAGACTCTATTGGAGAAGAAGATCTTAGTATACAAGAAAAACCCAAGGTGGTAACGAAAAAATCCAAACCGTTAAACACAATACTGGATGTAAAACTTAAAGCTGATTTGGAAGTAAGCAGTGACGTCGAAGAAGAATTCATACCCAAAATTATTGATGTAATTGAATTTGAGCCGGAAATAATTGAAGATGAACAGCTTTCCGCTGAAGACAACAAAAAAATTGTCAAAAAGAAAAAGAAAATTGTACAAAAAACCGAGGCTTCACAGTACGTTGTAGAGATAATAGATTTCCCAGAAAGAGACAAGCAGGAACAGGACAAATTGTATGAAGTTTCGTTTATAATATGCGAGCCAGATGATTCTACTGAATCAAAGATACAAAAAACGCATAAAAAGGTTAAATTGATGAAACCGAACGAATTGGAAGACTTTGTAGCTGAATTGCAAGAACATCCTGTAACGGCTATTGACGATAACACGTTCTATGACATTATTGTTGAAGAATTAGAACCTGAATGTCAAAAAGGAACAACAGAAAACGAAAAGCAATCTTTGAAAACACGTAAAATACTTCATCAGAGAGGCATAGAGGAAAGCATAATTGAAATTATTGAAATCGAACCGGAAAGTGAGAACCAGGAACCTACTTATAAAGTTTTAGTGAAAGACGTAGAAAAAGAAGAAATTATCCGTCCTAAAGAAGAAACTAAGCCGATGAAAAGTAAAATAATGAAGAAGCATGAGCTCGATACCTACATACAGAAACTAATTGAAGCTGAAATTCCCAAAACTGAACTTGAAAGGTACGAAAAACCCGAGTTCGATAAACGTCCGAAAAAATTGAAAAAATCAAAATCGCAAGCACCGCGGGAAACATACGCAGAAAGTGAAGAGACACAAGCTAAAATTACAGACTTCGAACCTACAGAAACGATGCCGGAAATTAAACAAACTGATAAACAAAAGAAAACCTTAAAACCAGCATTAACTGAAGTTGCGCCTATGGAAATTGGCGACTTCAAGTTTTTAATGCATGAAAGCGAACAGGAATCTACCGATGAAAAACAAATGGATTCAATTCCAATGTATCATATAGAGCATGTTCAAGAAAGTAAAAAACCACTTCCCGCATTTAAAGTCAAGGAAACAACTGAACAAACTGAGACCACCGTAGAAACCATTGAAGATCAAGGTAAATTCGTCGAAAAAATCAAAACTAAACGAAAAATTAAGAGACAGATCGGCCCTAAACAATACGAAGTCACAGTTCTCGAAACCCAAGTCGAAGATCAACCGTTCGCTGAAGTTACAGTAAATATCTTAGAATTAGAACCACTACCCACCAATGAAGCAGCCGCAATTGATGCCTCACCGAAATCAAAGAAAATTACAAAGAAAGTAAAAAAAGATCAAGTTGAAGAATATTTAATAAAAATTTGCGATGAAATACCCGAAACCATAGACACTCCAGAGGTATTAGATAAAACTCTTACAGTAGATCAACCTTGTGAAGGAATCCCTGATAATATTAATTATTCTATGGTAAAAGTGCTCGAGGAAGTATTTCAATCGGAACCAGTTCAAGAGGAAGAAAAGAAACCAACTGAAAAAAAGAAAACGAAAAAGCTAAAGTATGATAAAGGCAAAGACGTTAAAATTACTGAAAAGGACATTCTTGAGGTAGATAACGTTACTTCCGACGTTGTAATGAAGCACCAAGAAGAACAACAACAACCGAAGGAGACTTTGAATACCGATTTCTCTATTGATATTTCGGAACAAGATATACTGAAACGTCCTGCAAAACCTAAAAGTATTAAACAGTTAAAACCAGCGGAAACTCGTAAGGAGTACGCGGTGAGAATTGAAGAATTCGAACCCCAGATCATTGTTAAAGATATCATTGATGAAACGGGTAAAGAAGTTAAAGAAATCACTAAAAAAAGAAAATTGAAAAAGACAGCAGGCCCTAAAGAATATTTCATCGAAATCGTAGAATCTTTTATGGCAAATAATCCTACAGCTGATATTGAGATTACTACTACCGAAATTGCTCCTGCAGAAGATTCTGAAGAAGTAAAAGAAAAAAATGTGATTGTCAAAAAATTCAGGAAGAAACGACCTCAGGTCGACGACAAAGACACTTATATACAACAACTTATTGAGCAGGAAGTACTGAAAACTAAACTTGAAGTTTTTGAACCACTTGAATGTGAAACTAAGCAGAAAGAAAAGCCGAAAATAATTAAAAAACATCACAAGAAAAAAATCGAAATTGTCGCGGGTGCTCCGGTCACTGTGCATGAGTTTAACATTCAAGAAATCGAACCAATCGAAGAAGTAAAGCCAGAAGAGACAGATTCTTTAGGAGAAAATGTCCCGGAAAAGTTTACAGCAACTACAAAACTATTCGAAGACGAAGGGAGACCAAAACGAGAAGCAGTGATAAAGGCTAAACAAGAAACAGTGGAAGACTATCCAGTAGTTGTGGAAGAGATCGCAAAGATTATTGAGACCATTGAGGAGCCCACAGAGAGTGGCGAAATAACGCAGACTACGGTTACTAAACGTAAATTAAGGCGAAAATCTGGCCCAGTGGAGAAGGTATTCGAAGTTTGTGAGACTACACTGAAAGATCAACCTGCAGCGGAAGTGGCCATAGTAGAAATTACAGAAACTGCACCAGAAGACGCCACAACCGAAAAACCGGATGAAAGTAAAACAATTAAGAAAGTCAAGAAAGTGCCTAAAGAGAAAGTTCAGGATTACATCATTCAAGTTCTTGAAGAACAAGTTGAACCATATCCATTCGATGAAATTAATGTTGAGCAACCGATTGCCGAGCCACTCAAAGGAGATGAACAAATGGAAAAACGAAAACTGAAACCTAAGCGGCCCAAACCTGAGGAAACAAAAAGAGAAGAGACTATCAGAGAATATACAGTACGTGTAGAAGAATTACAGCCTGAGGTAACGGTTCAAAATATTATCGATGAAACTGGTGAAGAAATCAAGCAAATTCTAACCAAAAGAAAACTAAAAAAACGAGAAGGACCCAAGGAATACTTAATAGAAATAGTAGAATCTTTTGCTGAAAAGAAGCCAGAAGAAGCAGATGTTGAAATTACTACAACCGACATAACACCGAAAGAAAAATGGCCAGAAGAAATTCAAACAGAAAAAGTTATTAAAAAATTCAAAAAGAAGAAGGCTCAGTTGGACGAGACAGATGCATATATACAACAACTTATCGAACAAGAAATACCGAAAACTGAGCTGGAAGAATTTACGCCGCTGGAATTTGAAACTGTGAAGAAAAAGAAACCAAAAACAATTAAAAAACAACATAAAAAATCAGTTGAAGTTTGTGATGGTATTCCAGTGACGGTGCATGAATTTAATATACAGGAAATCTTACCACAAGAAGAAGAAACACCAGAAGAAATTATTAAAACAGAAAACGAAGAACTTAAAACTTCAATTAGTGACGTTCCCGAAGATTTCAGTGTTCGGTATGAAATAAAGGATTATATACCCGAAGAGCTCAAAAGCGAAGAAACGACTGGTCATGAAGAAAAACGTAAACCCAGGAAGGTTAAAAGAGCGGAAATTAGAACTAGTGAGGAACAACCTTTAGTGATAGAAGAAATTGAAGCGATCACAGAGATCATAAAAGAACCTTTAGATAAGGAGAACTTTGAGGAGAAAAAAATTACTAAACGTAAGATTAAAAGCAAATCTGGTCCTAAAGTGCAAGTTTTTGAGATTGCAGAAATCATTAAAGAGGATCAACCCACAGCCGAAGTTACAATTACTGAGATAATCAATGAAGCTTTCGCCACTGAAGAAGCAACAACTGTGGTGAAAAAACCAATTAAGAAAACTAAAAAAGTTCCGAAAGAACAAACCAAAGAATTCATTATTAAAGTTATAGAAGATTTTGTTAAGTCTGATGATGTAATAGCCATGATCTCTGAGGAAGTCTTGGACGTGCCAGCCGATACTGACAAAATTCCTGAAAAGATTAAAAAGTCTAAAAAGAAAAGGGTTTCTATAGTTGACGAACCGTTTGAAATACCAGACATAAGTCCAAGCGAAGAAGTGTCAAAACGTTCTGAATCTCCTAAAGAGATAACCGACGATTCATATAAATTCAAAGTTACTGAAGAAGTAGAGCAAAAAGAAATTAAAGATATAGCGCCTAAAAAGATTAAAAAGTTGAAGCGTAAAGAGCCAAAAGAAACTGAAGAGGCAACAACTTACGATTACAAATTAACGGAAGTAGAAACAAACGAAAGAATTCAGCCTGAAGATTTGGAAGTTTCTGTTACGGAAATCGATAAACAAGAAAATGTCTTCGATGTAGTCGACGATTTAGGAAAAACAATTACACAAAAAGTCACAAAACGAAAGATTAAAAAGCAAATTGGACCTAAGGAAGAAATTATTGAAATAGTTGAAACACAAAAGGAAGATGAGCCTGTAGCCGAAATTACTGTAACAATCACCGAAGCTGAAAAGATTTCAGATATTCCGGAATTAGTGAAAGAAAAACCTAAAAAGCCTAAAAAAGTTAAAAAGGACGACCTACAAGAATACATACAAAAATTAATTGAGCAAGATATACCGAAAACCGAATTGGAGAAATATGAAAAAATTGATATCAATGAGCCAATTAAATTGAAAACGAAACCAAAAAGTCAGCTCAAAAAAGCACCCAAACCAGAAGAATCAGTAAAAACGGAAGAGGTCACTGCAGAATCGCTGGCGATTTCAGTAACCGAAGATGATTTGGACATTCCTTTGTCTCTAAGTGAAGCTCCCAAAAAACCACGAAAAATTTCGAAAGTAAAAAAGAACGATCTTGAAAATTATGTACCGAAACTCATAGAAGAGGATGCACCCAAAACCGAAGTAGAGACATTTGAGGAGATTAAAGTGGATGAATCAGTTAAATTAAAAAAGAAACACCCCCTACAAGTAAAGAAAACTGAAGAAAAGCCCGCAGAAGAAGCAGAGTCTGAACCTGAAAAGACGGAAACAATCCAAAATGACCAAGCTCCTTCAAAAAAACGAAGTGAAGAAGTATTTGAGGTGACTATAAAAGAAGAGTGTACGCCTAAAGAGGCAGAACCTCCAGCGGCCGTTAGTAAAGAGATTGAGTCTCGAGAAAAAGAGAAGAAGAAGAAATCGAAAGCACCTAAAGTTAGTGAAGAAATGCCAGGAAAAGAAGATAACATTCGTGATGATCAATCCGCTGACATAAAGATTATCGAAAAATATGAACCAAGTGAACCGGAATATAAATTTTTATTAAAAGAAAAATCTGAACAACTTTCTAAGCCTAAAATTAAAAAATCTAAAGAAAAGAAAACAGAAATCAAAAAAGAACAACCCGCAGATGAGCAATTGTTTGAAATAATAGTAAAAGAAACTTCTCCAACGTTAATAGAGCCGGAAAAAATGAAAGTTGAAGTGATTGAAACAAAAACTGAGGTTCGTGAACCAATTGATGAAGATGGCGCTCTTGCAGTTCAAACCATTATAAAACGTAAATTGAAACTCCCGCAAAGTCCCAAAGAGGAAGCTATTGAAATCACAGAAATTAAAACAGAGGGTCAACCAGAGGTCGATATTACAGTCGTTGAAACAGAACCTGAATCCGAGGAACAAAAACCATTTAATGTAAAATCTACGAAAAAGAAAACTAAAAAAATTAAAGCTGATGACTTAGACGATTACATACAGAAACTAATCACAGAAGAAATACCCAAAACGGAACTTGAAAGATATGAAAAAATTGAATTTGAACCTACACCCAAAGACACTAAAGATACTTTTGAGGTTGAAACTAAAGAACAACAACCAACTGAAGAAAAACCAAAAATTAAAAAGAGGCACGAACCTAGGATTACTGAAGATAAACCTGTAAGAGAAGAACCGTTGTTGCAAGTTAAGCTAATAGAGGAAGTTACGCCTAAAATTATGAAGCCACTGCCAGTGGTTAAAGTTATTGAAATCGAGCCCGTCGAAACTCAAGTCGAAAAAGTAATTAACGAAGAGGATAAACCCAAACAAAAAACAATCCAGCGACGAAAACTGGAGAAGAAAGTGGATGACACAGCAGAAAGTATAGTACATGTAGTTACGATACATGAAGAAAACAGTTCTGAAGTTACAGTTATCATTGACGAAGAACCGTTGGAAGAAGCGAAGCTACTAACTGAGCAGCCTGAACAGAAATCAGAACCTGCTAAATTCAAGAAACCAAAGAAAACAGTAAAAAAAGTAAAAACAGATGAACTAGAAAATTATATTCAAAAACTGATTGAAGAAGATATCCCAAAGACTACGTTAGAACAATATGAAAAGATTGACATACCGGAGAAAACTGAACCAATTCCAATCGAACAACTAAAAGAACAGGTCATTGCCATTCAAAGAAAGGAAGTTAAAAAAAGTAAACCTCCAAAAATTCCGACTACCGACGAAATACTAAATACTACAGTTGACACTATATATGACATAAAGATCACAGAAACAGAAACACCATACAATGCACCACAACAACAAATAGAGGAACAACATGAGGCAACACAGCCAAAGGACACAGAACAAATCACACCCGTCTCACATAAGGAAATACAGCCATCACAACCAACAGAGGAAACAAAACCAATCAAACACAAAACTAAAAAACAAACTCCTGAGACAAGTAAGTGTTTCGTTTGCCCTTCTTACAATATAGCTTATTAGTCACAACTAAGCATTTTATGTTATTTAATTTTTTTATATCCACCTAAAACTAATGCCTCCGTTTTTGTTCCTGAACCTCCTCTATTATTTTATTCTTGATGGCCGCCTTATAAAATAAACTTTACTCTCTGTTTAAACTTATCGTAAAAATTATATCATATTAAATTTGAGTTTATTATAATTTTAGAAAAGACTTAAACCAAAAACCAAATTGAAAAGTAAAGCAAAAGCTTCCATATTCTTAAAAAGTAACTAAAATTTAAAAAAAGAATATTTTTCTAATGTTTTGACCACATATCTTAAAACTACTTTGTTTTCAAATAAAACTGGATAGACCGATGTTCAGATTTATCAGCAATTTGTTATTTGTTCAAAATTTCATGCATTTTGCTTTATCAGCTATGGTATATAGATTTGACAATCTTGTTATCTTGGTTTGTGTCTTTATATATATTATTTATTATTCTTTTAATGCAACCGTCTCCTTGCTCCTATTTTTCCAATGCGTCAAACATTAAATTTTTGTTTATATAAAGCTTTGATTTAAGCCCTACATTTCTATATACTATTCGTAACTTTAAATAGCTTTTTAGACCATTCTTATATCATACACGTTTGCGTAAAAAATCTGCCACTTAGAGATTTGAAAGTAATTTCGATTATTTTTTGTAATAGGTAAAGAGACGATTATGCATGATTATAAGATTGGTATAATCGAAGAAGAACCAGAGGAAAGAAAACCTACGGAAGAAATTGTCGAACAGAAAGAAGAAGAGACAAGATCAGAAATCAAAATTATCGAGGAATTGCCCAAGGCTTTGGAAGAACCGCATCCCGTCGAGTACGCCGAAGAAGAAAAAGAGGAAGCGCCCAAAGCAGTCGAAGAAATATCTAAGCCTAAAAAGAAAAAGAAATCAATTAAGAAAATTGACGAGCAAGATTTAATTATACAAAAACTTCTTGAACAAGAAATTGAAAAGACCGAATTGGAGAAGTTTGAAAAAATTGATTTCGAAAAACCAATAAGAGCTAGAACCGAAGTTGCCAAATTGGAGCCCATTAAGATAGAGCGCAAAGAACAGAAAGCCAAAAAGGTGATAATTACGGACACAACTGAAATTCCCCAAATGGTTAAACTGAAAGCTGTGAAACGCAAAGAAAAGCCAATTGAAGAACAAACGGTGCAACTGCCCAAATTTAAACTTAAAAGTCGAATCGATTGGATTGAATACCCACCAGATGCTTTAAAACCAGTATTAGCGGAAATCGGAGCTATTAAATCTAGTGGCGAATTATCTCGCAACATCGAAGATGCTGAGGAAGTATTAAAATTCAAACCTTATAAGCCAAAGAAGATCAAGAAAATTAAAGATGATTTGGAAAAAGTCGAATTGGAAACTTACGAAAAATACGTCAGCGACGAGGGAGAGGTTGGAGAAAAGGTACCTCGTGAGAAGCCTAAAAAACCAATCAAACCGGAAGAAAAGCAAGACGAAATTCAAATAAAATTGGGTAAAGGAAAAATGAAACCGAAAGAAGAAGAAAAGCCAGAAAACGTAGTACTAAAGAAAATTCCCGTACAACCGCAACAAGTAGAAGAAATAAGTGAGAAAGTCCCCACGAAAAAGCAGGAAGTAGTTGTTAAAGAATTGGAACCTCAACCAGAAGAACCTAAGTACAAAATAAAGCCATTGGAACTACTTGAATTTGATGATGTTGAGTATCCTAAAGAAGAGCTTGAACCGCTACAATATCCAGAAGAACCTGCGAAAGATATTGAAACGCCAAAACCAAAATACAAGCCTAAACCGAAAGCTAAGCTAGACGAAGAAAGTAATATTATAGAAATTGTTCCTGGTGAGCCAAAGAAGACCGAAGAGCCTACTGAAAAAGACGTTAAATTTCGTATTCCGGAAAGTAAGCCTGCAGAAAAGTCTAAAGACGAAATAAAATTAAAGCATATTGAAACGCCTAAGCTTACTCCTACAGAAGATAGTACAGTTTCAGTCAAAGAGGAAGAGAGAACAAGAGAAAAATCTTTTTCACCCGCACTAGAAATCGTTGCCAAAGAGCCCAAAAAACCAAAGGTTAAGAAAGAGAAACCTAAGAAAGTTGTATCTTTCGATGAAAAAACTCAAGAATTTGAGATAACGATTCAAGAAGAGGAACGTCAAGAAGCCCCGTCCACAGATGCTCCTACAGAAGAAGTTAAAATTAAAGAAAAATCTCCCAAAGAAAGACCAATTGAAGAATTTAAGATAAAAGAAGAAGTTTTCGAACCTAAGCGTACTGAAGAAATACCTATAGAATATAAAATCACTACCACTGTCATTGAACCTGAAGAACTGCCTGAGGAATATAAGGTGCAAATAACTGATATTGATGAAAGAGAAGTAATTGTTGAAGAAGTAGTAGAGGAAAGGGTGGTTACGAGAAAGAAAAAACCTAAACCAATTGTTCCTGAACCATATGAATACACTGTACAAGAACCAGTTGAGGAAGCACCAAAACCTGTAGAAATAGTTGAAGAAGCTACATTTGAGATCGAAAAAGGTGAGCAACCAATGGTAGAACAGGTTTCAGTTGAAGATCTGGTTGAAGAACCTAAAAAAGAAGAAACTGCCGAAGAAGTCACTAAGGAAAAACCCAAATCAAAGAAAAAATCTCGAAAAGAGGATGAAAAAATGATAAATGTTACCATAAGACAACCGGCTGAAAAAATTGAGGAGGAAGCGGTTGAAGAAATTCTGGAGAAATTAAAACCTAAAGAAAAGTTGAAAGAATACGAATTCTCTATAAAGGAAGAGAAAGTTCCAGAGCGAAAACTCCCAGAAGAAATTCAGGACAAAAAACGTAAAACTGAAACTGTAATTGAGAAGAAGATTGTAGAATTCCCAGAATACAAAATAAACATTGTCGAATCAATAGTTGAAAAACCCGTTCTCGTGAAGGAAGAGCAACAACCTGAACAAGTGCTTATTACCACTCAACCTAAGAAAGCAACAGTAAAACCTGAAGAAGTTGAAGTAAAGAAACCAGTTCTTAAGACCAAAGCATTTGAAGAAACAGAAGTAGATTTAAAACCACAAACCAAACAAACAAAGAAGACTAAAAAACTTGAAGAGGTGGAACCTGAATTAGAAGTTAGAATGGAAACAGTCGAACCACTGGTACCTGCAGAAAAGAAACAGGAAGTTTCAGTAAAATTGGAAGTTACAGACAAGAAACTAATTCAAACAGTTCCAAAAGAATACACAATCAAAATCGTAGAAGAGCAGCGGGAAATGAAAAATGATGTTGCTGATATTCAATATATAACGAAGCCGGAGCAGCTAGAAGAAAAGCCCAAAGAAGATACAGAAGTTGAGTTTGTACTAAAAGAAACAAAATTACCGAAAGATGAAGATCAAGACGCTGAAGTTAAAATAAAGAAATTAAAGAAGAAACCAAAGGCCATCGAGGAAATTGAATTAAAAGCCAAAGTTGTGGAAGAGGTGCCGATAGATCAACCTATCGAGCTTTTAGAAGAGACGAAGCCATCTGTTACTGAAGAAGTTCACAAAGACATTCCAAAGGATTATAAATTTAAACTTAAAGAATTTGAAATTCCAAAAGAGAAAATTACAATCCCAGAGGAAGGCGAAAAACCAATCGAGAAACATGAACCTGAAAAAGAAAGCAAGCCTGATACCGAATATCAGATCAATGTAATTGAAGAGACACCTCGATTTGTGACTGAGGAAGTAGTTGAGGAGCAAATTGAAATTATTCGCAAGAAAAAACCAAAACCAAGTTTTGTCGAAGAACCAGAAGAACAAGTGATTTTAACACCCGTAAAACCGATAGAGAGTGTAGAAGAAAAGATAGTCAAAAAGAAACCGAAGAAGTCAGTTCCAGCAGAAGATCGGGCTGAATTAGAAATTACAAGAACTGAAGAAATTGCTAAAGATTCTGAAATCATAGAAGGCATACAATCTAAAATAGAAGAAGCATCGGAAGACGAACCAATTTCTTACAAATTTTCTGTTACGGATATAGAACCAGAAAAGAAAATCGAAGTACCAGAAGAAATAGTTTTACCTACCAAAACGAAAAAGCCTATAAAAGAAGAGCCTGAAGAGCAAATAACACTAATTGCAGAAAAACCTGTGGAAGAAGTTGTCGAAGATGCAACAATCAAAAAGAGACCGAAGAAACCAAAGCAAATAGCAGCTGTTTCGATTGAAGAGAAAATTGTTAAAGTTGAGGAAGTGCCGCAAGAAGTAAAGGTAATTGAAGAAAAAGTAGAAAAAGTAGAACCATCTACAGAAATTGAACAAAAACTTGAAGAAGAAAAAGTTATCGAGAAGCCAAAGCTAGAGAAACCTAAGGAATATAAATTCTCTCTTATCGAAACTGAACCACAAACGTTGGAACAATTACCTCAAGAAATTGTCAAACTGCCTAAGAAAATGAAATAAAACAACCGGAAAAAAGTGAGGAACCGGAAGTGGAAGTTTCTTTACAACCAAAACTTAAAACGCAGGAAGAACCAACGGAAACAGCGGTAATTAAAAGAAAACCAAAACCGAAACCTAAAGAAGAAACTGCGGTTGAACTTCGCATGAAGGTAGAAGAAGAAATACCTGTTGAACCCGTTGTACAAGTAGTAGAAGAAATCGAAGAGGTTGAACCAGATTCAGCTGAGTTGAAATTACCTAAAAAACCAAGAAAACCTAAGATAGATGAAGAAATTTTTGAAGAGGAGGTATTGTTAAAAAAACCAGCGATTACACAAGAAATAGAAGAAGAACAAACAACTCAAGTTACATTGAAACCCAAAAAAACACATAAATTCGTAGAAGTGGAAGACGTTGATGTAGAATTCAAAATTGCTAAACAAAAACAAGTTACACAGGAAACTTCAGAACAAACTGTTCAGTTAAAAAAGAAAAGAAAACCGGTTAAAGTGATAGAAGAGGATGCCGATGAGCTGATCATAAAGCAGGAATTAATTGAAGAAAGAGTAAAAGAAGTTATAGAAGAAGAAGTTATTGATGATGTGATGGTCCGTAGGAAACCGAAAAAGCCAATTGAACCACAACTCGAAGAGCTCGAAGAGCAAGAGTACAGTATATCGTTCAAGAAGCCACATAAAATCAATGAGGGTGTGGAAGAAGCAGCTACTGTTCTCAAAAAACGACCGCAAATAGAGCAAACTACGGATGAAGCTGCCGCTGAGCTTTCTATTAGACGGGAAGAAGAATACACGGAAAGTGAAGATGTCGAAGAATTTGTTGTTTCTAAGAAGCCAAGAAAAAAATCAAAACAGGTCATCGAGGAAGAGGAACAAGAATTTGTAATAAAGAAGCAAAAACCACAAAAACCATCAATAGAAGTTCAAGAGTATAAAGGTGTGGAAAATGTCACATTCCGCCCTAAACCTGCTAGAGTCCAAGAAGATATTCAGCAAGAATTCAAAATAGCATTAGACTCTTATGCCGAAGAAGAGATATCCATGTCCAAGAAGATCAAAGTAAAAAAGCCCATCAAAAAAACATATTCTGAAGAAGCAGATGAGGTCAAAATTAAAATTGTACAAGAAATCGAAGATGACGAGGGTCCAGTTATTGAAGAAATACGTGACGCTAGCAGTATCGAAGATACCATGTACGATGTTGAAGAACCGGATGAATATCATATTGAGGAATTACCACTAGACGAAGTGGATATACCACTAAGACACAGAAAACCAACAAAACCACGCTACTCTGTACAGCATGAGGATGAAGAAGATTTCTTGATTGGCATAGGACGAATAAAATCTGAAGCTGTAACCTATGAAGAAGATTCGCTGACCTTCAAAAAGAAACGCAAAGTCGTCGAACAAATCTACAATGAAGGTAAATCGTTGTCCGCAAGTTTCATTAAGCCCGCATTTTTTCAGATTTTTTAAAAACTTCATCGAAATAATTTAAGTTTTATATGCTTTAAAATAATTATTTGCTTTCAATGGCATACAACTTTAGCTCTCTAAGAAAATATCTAAAAGCTTATATGATAACAAAACATAGCAAGGCGAGGTAATTTGATGAGCATTCATTTTTATAACGCTACCACTTTACAACTCTTGATGCAAATTAACTCCTTCTCTCTCTGTCTCCCTAATGTATAATTCACTACTGACAACTTCCTGCAACCAGAATTTAGAAGCTAATATATCTTACTTTTTTAATGTTATTGTTACGAACAGAAGGAGCATCTTTAAATATTACACGAGAAATGCACGTTGAAGGTAATATTAAAATCCAAAAATTTGCCGGATAGAGGATAACATTCATTGTATGACTTATTTATATAGAAAGCGAAGAGGAAAATGCCATGTATTCTATTTGCAACTATGTGGCTGACAATGATGAGGCTATTAATCTGGTAGAAGGCGAGAAGGTATTCGTTATAGGACGTCATAGTTCAGAATGGTGGTATGTGAAAAAGAGCATTACTTTAGAAGAGGGTTGGGTGCCCGCCCAATACCTTATGGAACCAACTAAATACATGCAATATATACAAAAGAAACTACACGAGAAAATTGACAAGTTGCCCGTTTTTGAACGTAAGTTTACGAAATTAGATGGGTGTTCGAAAAATCTACAGTTTTTTGTACCCATTTATTGTATTAATATGCGTCATAGTCTAATCTGTGAGTGCAGTGATTAACATTTGTTTAAAAATTATTTGTTCCATTTTTGTCTTTGTGTAACATCTTCAAAGGGCCTGGACCAGATGAAAAAGCTATTGCGCCTAGGTTCATTGAAAAATTGCAACCCATTCATACACCGGATGGGTATACGGTGCAATTTGAATGCAAAGTTGAGGGTGTACCCCGTCCACAGATTGCCTGGTTCCGTGAAACCGCCATTATAAAACCTTCTCAAGATTTCCAAATGTATTACGATGAAGACAACGTAGCTACACTAATTATACGAGAAGTATTTCCTGAAGACGCTGGACGCTTTACATGCGTCGCTAAAAACTCGGTTGGTTTCACATCAACCACGACTGAATTAGTTGTGGAAACGCCTTTATCAGATCATGGTTCTGACGCAACCGGTATGTCACGCAAAAGCATGTCGCGTGAATCCTCTTTAGCCGACATTCTAGAGGGTATCCCCCCAACTTTCTCTCGCAAACCTAAAGCTCAATACGTCAATGAAAATACAAATGTCATTTTGGAATGCCGTCTCGTAGCAGTACCAGAACCAGATATTATATGGACCTATAACGGCGAACAAATTGATACAACAAAATTGCAAAATGTACGTGTGGTCACAGAATCTGATATACACATGTACTGCAGTGTAGTTCACATTAGCAAAGTCAAGAAGTCGCAGGAAGGCGTATATGAAGTAGTAGCAACAAACCGCGAAGGGGAGGCCAGGTTACCTATAATGCTGAAAGTGCGCACAGGGGAGAAAGAGCCACCTCAAATATTGGAACCTCTTCGCAATATGATTATACGTGAAGGAGAAAGCGCAGTTTTATCCACACAAATTGTCGGAAATCCAGCCCCAAAAATTTCTTGGTACAAAGATGGCAAACCAATAACAGAGAACGTCAGGAGTGATAAAGATGTTCATACCTTAACTTTGATTTCACCGAAATACCCAGAAAAGGGAGAGTACACAGTAAAAGCAATTAATCCACTAGGTAGCGTCGAAACCAACGCCCAACTGACCATTGAAGGTATTCATTGTCTTAATCCATATGTTTTGTGTCCAATATATAAACTTTACAAAGATCTTTAGTATACGCCTGTTTTTCTGTTTCTTGTTTTTAGAAGCGCCAAGCGGCAATGCTGAACCTCCGCTGTTTGTTGAACGTTTTGAAGAGCAGAGTATACCCCAGAAAGGAACTATTCGTTTGCTTGCAAAAGTTTCCGGCAATCCAGTACCTGAAGTCTCATGGCTTTTTAACAATAATCCCTTGTATCCCAATGACCGCACACAGCTGAAGTACGATGGCGAAAATATAGAACTCATCATTAAGGATGCTAATCCCGACTTTGACTCAGGAGATTATAAATGCATAGCCAGTAATCCCTTGGGCAAAACGTCGCATGGCGCTCGTATTATTGTAGAAGTTGATGAGATCACATTTACAAAAAAACTTAAGTCCAGGATTACTATAGAAGAACAACAATTATTGACATTAGAATGTGAAACATCTCATGTGGCTTCGCCCAAATGGTTCTTCAATGGAAAAGAACTCAGCGGTATGGATCACCGCGTCGTTGTAGAAGATGGAAAAATACATAAATTGGTTATTAGAAACACGAATTTACGAGATACCGGTAGCTATGTTTGCAAAGTGAAAAAGACAGAAACACAGTCAACTGTTGAGGTTTTACCACGTAAACCTGAATTCATTAAACCCCTAGAAGACTACGAAGTAACTGAAAAAGACACAGCCATTTTAGAAGTTGAAGTATCTACAGATGCTGGTGAAGTTCAGTGGTTTAAGGATGGCGAGAGAATAACTGCCGCTAAGGAAAGGATCGACTTTATTAAAGATGGCAACATACACAGATTACTGGTACGCAACGCTTCTATACATGATGAAGGAGAATATTCTTGCAAACTGGATGATCAGCAATGCAAAGCAGAACTAACGGTGATTGAGTTACCGCCAGAAATTGTGAAACCGTTGGAAAATGTAAACGTAACCGAAGGAGAGGATGCCGTGTTCGAAACAGAGTTAAGCAAAGGCGATGCTATGGTTAAATGGTTCAAAAATGGCGAAGAATTGACTTTGACCGAACGCATACAACTCGCAATAGATGGCAAATGCCAGAGACTGATCATCAGAAAATGCAAGCCAAACGATGCTGCCGAATATTCAATTAGCGTAGGCGATCATAAATCTAATTCCAAACTGGTTGTCGAAGAACCTTTGGTTAATTTCACTCTACGTTTGCCCGATGTGACTATAGCCACTAAAAACACAGATGCTGAATTTGTCGCGGAGCTATCCAAGCCTGACGTTGAAGTCACTTGGTATGTCAAAGGTAAACCGATCAAAGCGAACAAAAAATATGACGTATTTGTGGAAGGTACAATACGTCGTCTCGTTATACACAGCATTGAGGAAAACGATGCTGTTGAAATTAGCTGTACAGCGGCTAATGTTACTACCAGCACTAAGCTTTGCGTGGAAGAGATTACAGCAGCGCCCTTAATCATTTCGGATAAACAGCAAACGTTTAAAGTTAAAGAGGATGAAGAAGTTGCTTTAAGCGTCAAATACTCAGGTGTTCCCCAGCCACAAGCGGAGTGGTCTACTTCCAAAAAGGTTATTATTAAAACCCAAAGAACAGTACCTACTATTGATGAACAAACAGCTACCTTAACCATTAAGAAAGTGGTCAACGAAGATGAAGGTGAATACGTCGTCAAATTAACAAATCCAGTGGGAGAAGCCGAAGCTACATTACATCTATTCATTATGCGTAAGTAAAATGTATAAATAATTCTGCATTTAAAAAAAAAAATGCTTTTGGTCTAATATATACTGCAGGTAAGCCAAGTGCTCCCGGTACGCCGCAGCCACTTGATATTATGCATGACTCCCTAACATTATACTGGAAGCCCCCCGAAGATGATGGTAAAGCAGAAATTTTGGAATACATTTTGGAATATCAAGATGTTAAAACTGAAAAGTAAGCTTAATTACTATTGTATCACAAAATGAATCAATTGAACTTTTTATTTCTAACAATGAAAGATGGACGGAGATACGTAAAATAAAGGACACGACGTATACCTTATATAAGCTACAGATTGATACGGAATATGTGTTTCGAACGGTCGCTGTTAACGAAGTTGGGCCCTCACCGCCATCACCTGTATCATCACCAATACATCTAAGACCTCAAGTGCAAAAGGAGAAGCCCACTGTTCAAGAACCTTTACAAAATGTGGTTACCGAACCTTCTAAAGAAGTCACACTCTCCTGCATTTTCGGTGGTATACCTGAACCCAAAATCATTTGGAAGAGAAATGGCCAAGTATTTGAAACTTCTACTATGCGCTATGAAAACCGCGTAGCCAAATATACCATTGACAAGACGACCATAGAGACTGAGGGTGAATATACTTGTGTAGCGGAAAATGAAATGGGCAAAGTCGAGACATCGTGCCATGTTAAGATGCAAGAAAAACCCGGTATAGAAGTCGAGGAAAAGTATTTAATACAAAAGTTGCGGTCAGATGCTAAAGTAAGCATTCCAGCCCTAATTAAGGGTTATCCTAAGCCGCAAATAAAATGGTATAAGGAAACCAATATTCTCAAAACCACTAAATATCGTAATATTGAGATAACCGAAACCACTACAAGCTTAACCATTGAAAAGGTAACTCGTCAAGATACTGGACGCTACAAAATTGTGGCTGAAAATGAATGTGGCTCAGATACTGTAGAGTGTACCATAACGGTGCTTGATAAGCCAAGTACTCCCAAATCGTTGCTTATCAAAGAAACGAAAAAAGACTCGGTTACGCTAGAATGGGAGCCACCGGAGGATGATGGTGGCATGGAAGTAAATAAATATACATTAGAAAAATGCGATTTACAAAAGAAAGTATGGATGAAAGTGGCTGACTTCGAAAAGAACATTCGGTCTTATGTTATACAAAAACTTTCCATCAATTGCGAGTACATGTTCCGAATATTAGCTGTCAATCCAATCGGTGAATCTGATCCTACAGAGAGTGAAATTGTAACCATAACCAAAAAAGGTAAATCTATAGGCGCGCGTAACTGAAAAAAATTTAATTATAATGACATTGCATGATGCTTTTAGATAAACCGTCACCGCCTCGGCAGCCTATAGAAGTGTCAGGCATGAACGACAAATCATTTACCTTATCTTGGGAAACACCAGAGACGGATGGCGGTGCCAAGATTCTAGAATATATTGTTGAAATCAAAGAATTCCATGAAACTGAATATAGACTTTTGGGCAGTACAAACGGCAATGTGCCGCACATCTTTGTGAATAATGTAGAAAAAGATCACGCCTACACATTCAAAATATATGCCAAAAATGAAGTAGGCATGAGCGATGCTTTAGAGACTGAAGATAAAGTTGTAGTGAGCCGTAGAATAAGTAAGTTAAATAAATATTTTGTAAAATGGGATAATCTATGCTTTAATGCTTAACTTCTAACGCTTCTAATGCTCCTATGCTTTCATTTTTATTTTCTGCTTATAAATGTGGTAATTGTGCTAATTTAAAATCCGAATAGTACGAGCTGCAGAGAATATCGGTAATTTTTTGCAAAAGCTTAATATTCATAAAAAAAATTCAAAAAAATGAAAAAAAGGAAACGATATTTTAATAATTATTGATTTATTCAACTTTCTAAACAGCTCCTCCATCACCTCCACAAAACTTAAGAACACCGGATATAACTAGCAGAAGTGTGACGCTTGATTGGGAAGTGCCCGCGCATAATGGTGGTTCTGAAATCACTGGTAAAAGAAAAACGCTTAAAACTGGACTTTGAACTTTTCAAACTACTAAAATATTTAATATTTAGTTAATTCTAATAATAAATTTATTATTATTGAAGGTTATTGCGTTGAAAAACGTTCCTCTACCTCAACTAAATGGACGAAAGTGGTAACATTGAATGCTCATAATCTCCAATATACTGTTGATAATCTAAAAGAAAAATGTGAGTATTGGTTTAGGGTATCCGCTGAAAATGAAGTCGGCTTAGGAGCCCCAGCCGTCACAGATACAGTAAATCTTAAAACACATGCAAGTAAGTAACCGTTGCTATTTTAATCAATCAATTCGTAATAATGGAAATCGTATTTTTATTATATAATCACAAAGCGGTACCTTCGCAACCTACTTCACCACTGGAAACAAGAATTATAGCTGCCAATGTTCATGTATTCGAATGGGGTATGCCCGAGTCAGATGGAGGTGCGCCACTGCTTGGCTATCATATCGCTATACGTGACATGAAAAAGACAATGTGGATCGAAGTAGGTCGCGTACCAGCTGGCATACAGAAATTCCAAATCAGAGACTTGCAAGAAAATCATGAATATATGATACGTATATTTGCTAAAAATGAAATTGGCCTTAGCGAACCTTTAGAATCGGAAGAACCGTATAAAGTGATAACGACAGGTTAGTACTTTATTATAAAATTTTATTTTACATTAAGCTTCATTATATATTCGATCTATTAAATGAAAAACAAAAGAGCATAACTTTCAATTACTTTTATCGCCAAGTTATATTCAATGAAAATAAAAACAGGATATAACGTTGTTACTAGATCGATTAAATTCTTAAAGGTACATCAGATATATTTGTAGTCTATTTTGTGCGAATATTTCGCATTGATTATCAATTATTTTCAAATATATTATGTTAGTTTATTTATTGAAACGTATTGATTATTTTTATACCCATCACCGAAGGAAGAGGGTTATATTCATTTTGCCAAAACATTTGTAATGCCCATATATTCTTGATTAGCATCAAGTTCTAAATCGATTTAAAGATGTTCCTCCGTCCGTCTATCTGTTTCTCTGTCTGTGCAATGTATGTAAAGCTATTGACTTCAAATTCGGCAGAAACATTGAAAGTTCTTGCACACAGATTGGTATTGAAAATGGACGAAATCGATCGAAGGATACGCCCACAGCACCATATAATTTGATAACACCTGTGTTTTCCAAAAGGAATGAAAAATTGGGCTTTTACTCGTTACTCATAAACTATAGCTTGAATGCATTTTCTGTGGCGATGTTTTAGCGTTTATGCATAAAAATCGAAAAAATTGACCATGCCTACCCAACATTATAACGTACCAAAATTTAATTGTTTTTTCAATACTTTTATAACGCGGAAAAACAAGGTTCAAAAACCGTATAAAGCATACAAATCCCTGGCCAGTTTCAAATTTGGAATATACTTCAACCTGTTCGCGTAATCATCTGTCGATCTGTCTGTTTGCTCAATTTTGTAATATTTGTGATAAGCATTCTCCCCTTAACATAAATAAAGACATCACCTATAATTCCAAATTTGCGAAATAATTTGGAATTGCCCCCAACTTTTCAAAGGACACGTCTACAACGCCCGCATGTCCATACAAGAAAAACTTTTATTTTGAAAATAGAAGAAATCAGCTGCGCCCCACTCCATTTTAAAGAGCACGAAAATTTTGTTTTTTACTTCTTTTACCTTTTTTAGGGTAACGGTGATGGCTATAAAAGATTCGGTCCCGACCGAATTTAATTTTCTTACTTGTTAGAACACTGTCACTTTCAGTGTCTTATCTCAATTTTTGAGAAAACCAGATACCCAAAATAAATTCGATTGTACAATATAATTATGCAGACTGACATGGCCAAAACAAACTGGAAAATGTACATATATATATATATATATATGTACATTTGTACATATATATGTCTTTTTATATATGTCATATGTATGTCTTTTGTAGTCTTTAATGCTCTGCATTTTATATGACAAATCGTTAACGAAAGGACCTGTTTGATTAGGGGTCTCAACAGATTATATAAGACATAAGACGTTATATAAACGTAAGAACTAAGCTAAATCGACTGAGTATCACACATTGGTTATAAGCTAAAGTAACTTCATCTTACATCCCAGATGTCAATTCCGATTATCTTTCAGTTTACAGAATTAGAAATTCTTTTAATTATATGCATGCATATATATATATACATATATATAAAAAGAAAACCTTCTCATTCGGAGATATTCAAAATCCTACAACTTTGTTTTTTTTTTTTCCTTTAAATCTTTAGGTCATTTAAGTCTACCTGATGAGCCGCATACAGAGTTGAGTACTTGTAATACATCATCTTGGCTAAGGGAACATAATATGGATGCGGATATACATTCATACGTACGCGGTAAATTATTGCGTCGTGATGAGTATTTCTTCCGCTTGTCGGCTAAATTGCCCAGTAAAAAGAAACGAGGCTCAAAATAAGTATAAAAATAGTAGAATATAAACAATAAACACTCTTCACTTACACTTCAAACTATACAACTAGACAACAATTTTTAACAATTCTAACCACAATTCATTGTAAGAACACACACAAACGAAACAATTACTATCACTACTGATACTAACACTATATATTTCTACTTTATATAGAAAAATATTTTTTTTTTACTCTCTATACATATATATTATAATGCGAAAATGTAAACAAAGAAGAATCATAAAAAATTATGTAAAATTTATGTAATGTTTACTTTCTTTTTTTTTTTATATACATATATCTAATTTTTATTTATTAAACATATAAACGAATTCTCTTACTTAGAGAAATATGTAGAGTTTTTTCGTGTTGCTAACGGTAAAGGCAGGCGGAGAATAAAACATCCTTTTAACTATAAGCGAGCGAAGAATACTTAAATAGGAAGTTTTGTCTCTTTTTATGCCTGCTTTTACATCGTATACGACAAGCAAAACTTTTAATTTTTACTTACAACTGCGCATAAAACAGTCTAACAGATTTACATACATTACATAATTTATTTATTTAAAAATTGTGTTAAATTTTTTTTCAAGGTTTTTTTCTAATTTTTAAAAGCTGTGATAAGTTTTCAACCAGAAATCACAAAAGAAAAACGAATATAAATACAAAAAAAAACGCATTTTTACACATTGGTCCCATCAGACAAATTTGTGTATTTGGTCTTATACAACATTGGTGCGAATTTGGTGTATAAGACCAAAACCAATTTACTTATCTATTTTGTGGACGTGATCGAATATTTAATTTTTGATATCATTTTCTAAACATTCACTTCATTTCAGACACATAATAAAAATGCGATTTTTTTTTTAACGTTATATATATATCAAAACAGATAAGATTGTTAAATTTAAAAAAAAATCCCCGATTTAAAATTTAAACATTGACTTTGAAATAGCAAATAAACAATAAACAAAAAAAAAAAAAACACATAAACAAAAAAGATTTGTTTTTTAATATCAATTTACAGAAAATTAAGTAAAAAGATTATAGTCGGCCATGGTCTGCCATTAAGCGTCAAATTTTCGATGAAACTTCGCTTAATAAAGTTATTGATAACACCTACACCGTTATACTTGGACTTGAGATAGATCCTCCTTTAATTATACCAATCAATTCAGCATCATTCAGCTCGTCTGTCTGTCTATCCGTCTAATATATTCTTGTGTTTACCCTATAAGCCGCAATTTTTGAGAAATATTTTAATGAAATTTTGTACACTGACGTGCTTTACCCCAAGAAGAAGCACTATTGAAAATGCTTTAGATCGGTATGCATATAACACTCTGTTCTGAAATGTCGCCGCCTGCGGCAATTTTCGAACACCCTCATATAACGAAAACTAAAATTCATGCGACAAAAAAGCATAATTTTCAATTCTTCATGATGTCAGTATATATCATAATAGTAATTTAGTACAAAAAAATGGACGGAATAAAATTGGGAACATTCTGAGCTATTTTTTAGATCTTACCGTAATAAGTGTTTCATGAAAATTTATCCTTTGCAGAACGAAAAAGTCTCAGTTTTAATATGTGGTGATGAGAATTAACCTACAATAGTTCTTTCATAAAAAAAATGAACTCTACAAAATTTGGACCTTCCTGCCCCGTAAGGATTAAACTTATACTACATTATTTTTGTGTTCTATAATAAAAATAAGAATTGTGTTAGACAATGTGATGTAGGTTATTTAATTGTCGGCCTTGTCCGACTACAACGTGCTTTCTTGTTATTAGTTAGCTCAGCATAAAAAAAGTGCTTAAAAGTTAGGATTTAAGTTGCAAGAATACTGTCGAAGAATTGCATTTTCACATTTCTTCTAATAGTTCGAAGGTCGACATATTTGCAATGTGTTTCTTTGGTGTGCTTGACAAATGGCTAAGGCTATATTTGTATTAAATTATTTATGTTAAATTACTATTATGATATAACTTTCTTCGTTAATCATTGAAAATTATACCTTTTTGTGGTGTGAATTTTAGCTCTCGTTATATGAGGCAGTTTAAAACTTGCCACAGCCGGTCCAAGATTCCATACAAATTTAGAATGACCAAATACTACTACTTAGCAACTTTTGTTGAAAAATTTTGAAAATTGAAATTTTATTTCCTTATAACAACTTTTTAGGATACGGCTTTATATGGAAAATAGCCGAAAAGTTTTCAATAGCGTTCATCCTTGGGTTAAAACACGTCACTGTACCAAAAACGGACCGATGGACAAGCATAGTGAGGGATTAATTCAGATTACGATTCTGAATCGATCGGTATAATAGAAGATCGAGAAAATGTCCGACTCAAGCCCTTCTGCGTGTTACATACGTACCATAAGTGGTGTAGGGGATAACAATCTTTCAAAAACCCTTATATTTTCCTAAAATTCTTTAAACGTTGAACACAAGAACTCCAGCTGCAACCTATCGTAAGCACCCAAATGTCAAAAGACAATTTGAATGTAACGTGTTGTTATTAACTTATGCACAGAGATTGTGTTCCAGCATTGCAATCAATGCTGCAAAATTGTAATTGTGGTGCGTATATTAACATTGACAAACAAAGCACAGAGAAATAAAATGATAGATATGGAAAAATAAAATCTAATCATATGGTGTTTGCAAAATTAACCAATTAATTAATTACGTTTGCACTCTTATTAAACAATATTATCAACATTATGAGCCTACCAAAGATATTTTTCGCTCTACTAAATTTGCGCTTTATTAATGCCTATTAAATAAAACATTGATTCAGCACTTAAAGCTTGGGACAAGTAGCCTTCTTTCATAAGAATGTAACAATTTAAGCCTATTTGTAATAAATAAATTAACTGTAATGATGCTGTTTTGTGGCGAAAGTCCTTTATTTAGCAATGCAATTTTGTTAAAATCATAATTTCGACTTACAAACATCTATAATTGCGAACTAATAGCGCCAACAAAATGTAAAAGGACTGTGGTCCATTATAAAGCGTTCCGAATAAAAAGAATTGAATATAAAGCAATGCAAAATATTAAAGGGCATTTTATTCCATCACACCTTGGATAACTAATATTAAATAATATCACTAATTAATTTCTATTCTAAAAATGCTCCAATAATGTTTAAATATATACGAAACGTATTTAATGATTCTAACGTGAATGTTTGCTATAGAAATAAAAATTTTCTCTTATTGTCCTTCTTCTTGTATAATATTCAATTCACTAGTCTAAAATTAAAATAATAATAATAATAATAATAATATTCTATATACAACCAAACAAATATCTATAAAGCTATCGCTTCTCACGTTTTTCTTTCATCTTCTATAAATGCCAGTAATATTCAAGGCCTTTTTTATTCGAAGCAATTTAAAACAATTTAATCTGATCTAATAAAAATACCGTATGAATATTAAGTAAAGCAGGTGGAGATTATAACCACTTATAACAAGCCCTAATAGCTTCAAGGTTACATAAACGTCAATAAGTAAATGAATCACTAAAACCGACCGACATTTCTCAGTTTTTGTGTAACTGTTATTTCTTTTCCTTTACTTTATTAAATTGTATTGTAAGTTGCTAACTGATTCGATGTGAATACGTTTGAAAAATATTTCTATTTATATATCAGCTAATATCCCCTTTATCATAAAAGCATGTTTTAACACTGCTAAATACTACTAAGTGAAAGGAAATTCTTGGTAACGGCAACGCTTCGTGAGCGTTGTGTGCGAGCTCCATAAAAATTCAGTCTGCTTTCTTTTACTCTTTAATTCGTACCCTGTGTGAAAAATGTCAAATAATTTAATTGAAATTGTGCAAAAAAAATTGAATTTTGTGAGAAAATTTTGAAAAAGAAACAGTATTTAAGAGTTTTTTAACATAGCGTATGTAATGTTTGTAAAATTAATACGATATATTTAATACAAAAATTTTATGTGAAAATTGCTAGGGAATTAAGACAAAAAGGAATTGAAGAGAACTCGCGCCATTTTGGATTTTTTGTGTTTTGTGTGTTGCTTTTGATAAACGAAAGAGAAAGCAAAATTTACAGAACGCAACAGTAACTGAGTGATAAATGCATTTTTAAAAATAAAAAAATAATACACAGCAAATAAGAAGATTGAGCTAATGTAATTTGAAAATATTTAAAAGAAAGAAAATATCAAGTATAATATATCGTGCAAATGCAGCCCTGTATTGACTATTGGCGGTATATTCAGCTGTTGTTTACTAATATCTTACATATATTTGGCGAAATTGGAGGGTATCGAATATATCTTAAAAAAAAGTGAAAAAAAGAAAGTTTTGATTCTACAATTAAGTGGAGCAGGATTTATTTTCACTTCATTTTGTAACTAGGGATGATTCTGAATTTAAAATTTATTTTCTCTGTTTCATTCCTCCCCGTTTCCTGTAAAAACAAAATACATTTTCCACCTATAACGAACATAAACAAAAAAAAGTAAAAGACTTCATCGAAACATCAACCGAGTAAAATTTTTGACTTAAAAAGCCTATATTTCAATGCCGAAGAAGGTTGCAAAATTAATAATAAAAATGATTAATCACAAACTCGTACTAATCCAAAGAATGGAAAACAAAAATTAATGGATAACGAATGAAAGGTTAACAACATATAATAATCAAATATTAGACCAACTAAACATAGGGTAAAAAAAGGTTCGTATGTCAGCTGAAATAATGATTTGCACAGTTACCGCAGCTGCAACCTGCACAAAACTTCGAGATCGCAAAATAGAATTTGCGGCTGCAGAGAGACAACAAGTTTATTGAAAGCTGTTGCGAAATTGCATATTATATTCCAGTATTTAAGATATTTAAAAGATAACAGGACATACGAAATGTGTTTAAGTATAAAGTAAAAGCGTTTGTCATTGTTAGCAATACGATGCGTACAAAACCCTGCAAGGAACTGTTAAGATTTCAAAAAATTAGAGTTGACTTTCGTAGCAAAATAGGAAAAGATGCAAGTCTGCTCACGTTCTTCAAAATGTATACTGCTAATTACAATATTAGTTCGTATGCGTTCTATTCGAATACTACTGAAGAGGTGATAATTAACATTACGGGGGGTTTGGTGTATTCTCTTGCCATAGTGATTTTTTGAAAAGAAGCAATCTGGAGCATAGCACGCCTGAAATCGGGTTTTATTGAAAAAGTAAAAGAAAGCTTTCATTTAACTTTTTCAGAATAAAGAATTGGTTTGAAGACCGAAAATTTTCAATTCCTATGCAGTTTACGATAAAACGAATGAAATTTTTATCTAAATTGCAAGCAATATGTTTTTTAGTTTAATATATTTCTATAAGGATTAAAAATATCAACAGTTGCTGCACGGAACAAGGACCAATCCAGATTAAGATTTAAATGCTATTTAATTATGAATTGAAATATGCTGTTTAACTTCTCTTTGTTTCTTATTTAGTGACGTTTCGCCTTGGCATTTCTAGTTGTTAGCCTTTATAGGTGGACGGGGCGCGCTATTAAACGTAGTTTAAATGTAACTGAAATCGAAAATGCCAACTTTCCCGCTTTAAAGAAGAATTGCAGCTTCGTCGTGAGTTAAAATTGCAATCAATGAAATTTGTACGCTTTCCAACACTTTTATTTAAATGATTGGCAACTCTCAAAGTGCTGTCAAACCCTTTCTCTGTACTCACAACCATATTCTCATTATTTTTATAATACTTTTTCTTTTTTTTTCGCGCCTGCACAACGAAGTAATATAAACTAAATGAAGAAGAACACATTTTTTAAAGTGCATAATCAAGAACTTTGGATTAAGTTAAGTTGAAAAGTTATTCAAGACTACAAAAAATAAACGAATCCTATTATATATCTATACGTATGGGTGATTGTGATTGCTAAAGACGATGAGTTACCGTATGTGAATTATTAAGCTTATATGTTGTGAACAATAAAGCGAAAGAAAAATCCAACGTCAGGCATACGTCAACAAAATATACAGACATACGCACATAAACTTTCATTTCGTCTTTTATACAAATTTTCCAAATCTTGTCGTCTGTACGTTGTCATATGCCACCCGTTTACGTTCATTTCGGTATGTGTGCGTCGACGTCGTCGCTTAAGAAATACAAAGTGTACAAAGAAGAGTAGAGAAAAAAAAACAACGCACACAAAAATTTTGTTTAAATCAAAAAAAGAAAACATTATTTTTGTTTGAGCAGCTTTTTAGCTGCTAATGCAGCTATAAAGTGAAAAGTTTTCTCAAGTTGCGTCATCATAAAATAATATTTACCATATATGTGAAACTAAGAACTATCATCTGCAGTCCTGCTTGTTAAACCTATCAATAGATTGCATCTTTATCGGATATACTAAAGTATTTGTTAATACACAATGTCCGTACAACAGTTTTGTTTACGTTGGAATAATCATCAGCCGAATTTTATAGCGGTGTGCTCGACTCTACTGACGAGTGGTACGTTAGTCGACGTTACTTTAGCGGCCGAAGGTAGGCAACTACAAGCCCACAAAATTGTTCTCTCAGCTTGCAGCTCCTATTTTCAGGTAAGTTAAGCCAAATATTATGTGCAATATATATAATTGTAACCTAAATGCTGCTTGTTAGAAATGAAGTGAATGGTGTGCAATTAGGATTTTTTGCCAAACGAGAATCATTACAAAATACCTTTTTTTGTTTTTTTTTTTTTTTTAATTTCGAAAAAGCATTAATGTGTCATTTATCATTACAGACACTTTTTACAACGAATCCATGCCAGCATCCCATTGTTATATTAAAGGATGTACAATATGATGATCTTAAAACTATGGTTGATTTTATGTACTATGGTGAAGTAAACGTTTCGCAAGAGCAGTTACCGCATATTTTAAAAACGGCGGAGATGCTTAAAATAAAAGGACTCGCCGAAATGCCCACCGATCCTGCTAATTTAACTAAGTCCGATAGTAAATCGTCAAACGATGCAACCGAATTGGTTGGTGGTGCTGGCATAGGTGGTGCTAGTGGAAGTAACGGTGCGACTGGGAACAATAGCGGAAATGGAAATAGTGGAAGTGGCGGTTTGGGTAGCAGTGGCACTGGCAGTGTTAATGATTCGTTGTGGGGCTCAACAGAAGCGCAATTTCAACAACAGCAACAGCAGCCACAACATCAACAGCAATCTCAGCACCACCATCAACAATTACAACAACAGCACCATCACCAACAGCAGCAACAGCAATTACACTCGCAATTACAAAATAGTCAAACGCAAACCTCTCAGCAACAGCAACAACCGCAGCATCATCATCAGCAGCTTCGACGAACACCGTCACCTTTAGTTGCTGGCGCCTCGCCGGCCACCCGGCGAAAACGTTTACGCAAATCTTCAAATAACGGTAACGGTATATGCGTGTCAATCTATGATTTCGTTTAAAACTCATATCACTATTCTGTTATCAGGTTCGGGAGAACGTGTCAATTCCGAAGATCAGCACAATCCATCTTTAGATGCGGCAACGACGGGGGGCTTAACGCTTTCACAAATGAGCCAGATGTCATTTGGAGGAAATGCTGGAAATAGTGGTCTTGGTGGCCTAGCTGCCCATCCTTTACATACGGCGAAATTACTTAAAGAAGCCTCTAACAATGATATGGAAACACATCCCCAAGATTCGGATAGTTTGGATGATGCACACGGTCATGTACATATGCAAATTGTAATTATTTGATTATTTAACGGTATACATTCAATACTAAATTTTTCTTCTTTTGGATTTTTTTAGAAACCTGAAGTTGACATCAGTGGCGTACAACAGTCAATACCATTAGATATATCTGGGGCTACAACGCCTTCAGAACATGATGCTCCTAACACGCAATCTGCTCATTCGGGTGAGTTTATATTTGGTTTTCATTGCATTCACAATACATTTGTGGTTTTATTATAGTTTTTTTTTTTTCCTCTTATTTATTTTACTTAACACATGCGTATGAAATAAGTAATCTGAGACAAAAAAACTTTCATAATGTAAAAATTTGGAAAAAAAGTTGGGAACAAAGTTTTTCCATATGCGCTTTATTTAACTACTCGTAATTAAATCGAATTCCCAAGGCATTCTTACCTCTAATCCGTCTGTTTTGCTACACACCGTTTGAAGAGTCGTTAATTTGATATCTCCCGTTTCCTACACCTTTTTTTTTTTTTCTTTTTTTTTTTTTTTAAATTTGAAATTTCTACACTGCCTGTGTCATGTAATAAAAAAAAGAAATCCAAAAAAAAAATATCTGAACAAAGTAGGTCTCGCATCATAGAAGTAACGAATTTCGTTAAACATTGATTTGGTTTGGCTTCAAACAATCGGTTAACGTGGGGTGGTCGTGATAATTTTCTAAAACGTGCCTA